ATCCCACAAGGACTCGTCATAAGCACTGCTTGCATACGAGGCCCTCGGAAGAATAATAATAATAATCAGCATGAGAAAACACCTTTCATCTTCATCAATGCTAGTAACAATATTGATATTCCTTTTTATCTTTTACTTGATTTATTTTATTTTGATTTATACAGTTATACTGGTTGTCAAACACTGCTTCATCAACGTATTGCGCACTATGATTTGCATCTGGCACATTATATCGAAGCAAGGCCACCGGCCAGGAGCACAGTTGCATGGACTCTGCATGGCTGATCTCACTTGACCTCGCAGGTTAGATGAAGGCCCGTTTTCTCCACGGACATATCTGATATGTTCAAACTGCCAGTTAATCCACATACAACCTTCCCTCCTCGATTGTGCATCGCTCAGCACGTCCGAAGGGGCAGACTTTCCAACCCTATGAAAAATAACGACAGCCCGCTTACACAGTTCATCAGACAACCAAGGCTGAAATAAGAATTCTGATAGTTAAGCCCGTTGACGACTCGCTAAAGAGGGAGAAACCTTCCCTAACGGCGCCGATCAAACCGTGGTAATAAATCCCGAAATCAAACAATGGGTTTGTGTTGGTGTAGTTACCGCCGGCGCAAGTTTTACTAAACTTTAACTACAATCAGCTCCAAAGTTTTCGGCCTCTCCCAATTGCTGGTGGAATCGGCATCAGCAATACCGTTTCCATATTTCCCCATTTCTGCCATGCATGGTTCAATCAATACGCAGTGCATAAAAGGTATCATCGAAAATGGGACCGGCCCACACATCTGTGGGAGGTTTGTTCCACTGTCCACATTATCTGATCATTGATCGAGATCGGGGAGGCCAGAAGAAGGTACAATTAATCAAAGATGAAGAAGTGAGAACCATTCCCGAAGACCACTCCAGCCACGCAAAGAGGTAGCGCCCAACCAGGATCAACATGGTCTCTTTTTGATCAACGGCATCTGAAACAAACAGCCTCATCAACTTCAACTGGTGTGGGATTCGATCTCCGTCAGTGAAAACATTGAGGCCTGCTGCCGCTGCTGAAAAGTCAAATGATAACGGATGCATTACTCGAGTTGGTCTATGGAGCAATTGCGTCATTTTTCAACACGTAATAGGAATAGTTGATAAATAGGGAAAGTTTAAGGTAATGTTCGAGAAAAACCAGACCCATGTTCCCTTCGTTCGGGAAAATAATGGTGAAGAGATGACATCTCTCACAGGCCATGCTTATCGAGCGTGTGACCCAGACAACCATGGTTCTGGTCTAGCTGATTTTTTGGGTCAGCCCCAGTACGAAATCTTAAGGTGTTTACCATAGATGCTTGTGGGCTCAGGACTCTTTGCCGAACCATGGCGGCAAGATCTCAACTTGAAACCCTGATGATGTCAAGAGATTGTGCTGGGATTTGACGGGTGACCTTTCTCTGAGATTTTCCTCTTTCGGATTTTATTTACTTTATTTTTACTATTGTTTACCTTGTTTTCCATTTCGGGCGATTTCCTGCATCCCCATCAAGCCCTCAAGGTGACTCCATTGAGATTGCATGCGCTGAACTTGACACAAAACAACGCACAGGGTGCACTAACTCTTCCATAACCTACAGTGTTGACTAACTAATGACAAATAAGAGAGCGTGTTAAACAAGCACAGCCTTCAGCCGTATCATTATGAACGGACTACGTCTGTACCGGTCTCAGACTGGTATATTTGAAGATGTGATGAAACCTGGGCCTCATTGGAAGCCGATAAAATTCCTCCAGAATGTCAAGAGCCATGACAATGGCTACATGATCGAGAATGCCGGCAGCACCGTAGATAAATATTTGATAGCCATTACAATAACTACATAAAAGCAGCACAGATCCAGGCTAGGCGAGACAGCATGCCTCATACCAAAAAGAAAAGCGAAGAAGGGCGCAGAGGAGCATCCTCTCAACATGAGTATTTTTTAGATACCTCATTCATGTGGCACACCGCTAAAACCGACAGGTGTATGCACTCCAAAGCCACATCGAAGGACTAGTCTGCAGCTTGCCAACCGGGCCACACTCTGTCTAGAATGATCTTTCGGGGTGTTCTATGCATTCCTCCGGGATAGCCAAGACCTTATAGCGAGAGTGGTTTGGTTCAACACCCCATGGCTTGGTCTTATACTGAACAGGACGAGCCCACGAAGGAGGGAATGCTCGTATACGATTCTCTAACACAGGCGAGAGTGTTCGAAGCTCATTTCTTCCTGTGTGGCGAATGGTAAGTAAATCGCCAAATTATGTAGTCCCACTTTTACTTCGAAGCTAGCTGACGACTCAGGGAACAAGTTGTCCCTCCCCCCACCAGACATCCTGTTCATTGATATGATAGATGCTGTTAGAGATGTGTTATTTGCGTAGCTGAGGGTAACGTCCTTTTCTCTTCACCCGAGCTGCAGCAAACTTATTTCGGGTGGGAAAAGCTCCATCATAATTATAAGCCCGCATATCGATTTGAGAGGCATCTTCCAGTAACTATGTAAGTGCGTGTCAAAACAGTTAGGTAACACGTGGAAGAAAGCCCTACCGGGATAATAGCAGAATGATTTATTTTCCCTTAAGAAGTTCAAGTTCCTTACCATGTTCCAGAGTGCTCTGAGGTACAAGTGGCCAGAATGCCTCTGTCTGTGGAACACCGAAGACATGCGCTTTAACAGCTGTCTCATATAGCAGGCGAATGCAAGCTCTACCCGCCCTGCATTCATCCATAACCTTAGAATTTTTGCCATCACTTTCCAATGTACTCCGTACATGTATGTACTGTACATACATGGGGACTTTCTTCCCTACATGACTCGTGTGTCATGGGCCACAGCGCTATGCTTTATCGATGTGGATCCCAAGGCGTATGTATGTACTGTGGTTACATGTACAGATCTATACCGTTGAGGCATTTATGCAAGAGGTGACTTTTCTTCTCCTCTCAGCTCGTTACTTCACACAGAGGTAGATAGACAAAATTACAAACAACAGGGTTTGTTCCCTTTCATGTTTCCCGTAGTTCGTGATGGATATACTCTCAATTTCCCAAACATGCAAGCGAGGAAATCCGTAGTTAGTTGCTAAAAGAATAGTAAGCTTGATGCGACAAATGCTACCCTTGTCCAAGCTTTGAGTTATTCTAACCCACCCCCCGCCTTCGCTTGGTCTGCTTGCTAGTGTCCAATATTATGCCAGGATACCGGCATAACCCATTCGGCGTTGGTTCCCTTTTCAGGATGGAGCCTTGGAAGGTCCCCAAGGTGTAGGTCGGGTGTAATCTTATCTAGTTTCCGATCTTAGCCAGTTCGTTTTCTGATCCCCAGACCTCCCAGCGAATCCCAACTTCTCCCAGTTCCGAAATTTATATGCTGGACTGGCCATAACACATTCATTAAAAGGAGCAGCCCTTAAGGGCTTGCTGCGTCTGGCCTCTTGGGAAGCTATCTTCTCAAGAGCTTTTCTATTCATTGTTTTGATTTATATGGAGGATCATTCATCAACGATCTCGTTCTCGATCTCGTTCTCGATCTACGTTTTGGAGAGCTTTTCAATCTCCAACCTTTTATGGATTCAAGAATTCAAAGCCAAAATCACTGTTCATATTATATTATATTTTATTTTAATTCATGCATATATTTTCCGCTATCTGTCGTCTGGGATTCGATCCAACAGGGGCAGACTACAATTTTCACTGACCTTCTGAAGCATGCTTCTCTTTCCCCTTGAAAAGGAGAAAGAAGATAAAATCACAGATGGGAATAATTCAACGACGTCATATTCACAAAATCCGAATTCTGGAAAGTCTACGCTGATGACAGGAGTCACTTTTTGACTTCATGGGAATGACCCATTGCCCCATCGCAGAATCACCATGTTAGCAGCAGGTGAACTGTCTGTT